CCACAGTCACTGGAGAAGCAGCCAGAGCTGCTGCTTTAGAAACACTGAGTGCAGAGCCCATATGCATTGTTCTAATTTTTCCCCAAGGCCTTCTGCATTGCTTTTCTATATTTGAATGGCAATGCTAGATGAAACGATTTTACCTAAAGAAAGAGAAGCAGCGAGCCTTTGGAGGGCTAGGGGCATTCTAGAAGTCCCAGAAAAGCCTCAGGGGAGGAGATGTCCGGTGGAAACAGTGATGCAAGTCTTTGACAACCCTGTGTGAGATTGTCTGGCTAAGGTGAGCTCAGAGCAGGCGGGTCAAGAAGGTGCCAACGGCCTGGCCTAAAACGCGTGACCATCTGAGATGCCCAGAGCCTCCCTCTCCGCAGCGCCCCCCCCCCACTCCACACGTGCTCTCCTGTTCATGAACTTAACCTCGGCTCCCAGTGACTCCAAGACCCCCCCCCCCCCGCCGCCGGTCCTCCCCACCTGACGACCTTCTGAACTCACTGCACTGCAGGGCACTGCCGCTGCTCCCTCCCAAAGTGGCCCCGGCCTGAGGCCTGTGGACCCAAGTCCACACGAGGGATGGTCACTGGAACCTAGTCTGCCCAGGGAGCCCTTCTGGGGAGAGGGAGGAAGAGAGGCCACGGAGGTACAGTCTCCCCCACAGGTCCAATGCCAGTGTGGCTGGTGCGGAGAGAACAAGATGGGCAGTGGGAGGAGACGAATCACAGAGGCCAGAGCCACACCTTCCAGAACAGGAATCACGGAACAGACTGGGCACACTCTGCCTCAGGACCTTTGCACGTACTGTGCTCACCGTTCTAGAAGCTCTTCCAGCAGAACTCCATGAGGCTCATTCCTTCACCGTTTCAATCCTCACTCAGATGTCTGCCAGGTAAAGGCTTCCCTGACCACCCTCCAACGCTTCCCATGTACATCTCCTCCTTTGCTTTCACTTCTCAGCACTTGGCACTCACTACCCGCTACCCCACACAGTTTTCTGGTTCGTTTGTCTCTGTCTCCCCTGCTCCCTCCCAAGCAGGGACTGTGGAGTCCCGAGTGCCTGGAACAGCGCCCAGAGCAGAGGAGATGCTGAAGAAATGAATGAATGAATGAATGAACGGATGAGCCTAGGTTCTGGATCCAGCCTCAACCCTCAAAGCACAGCAAGCAGTCACGGCGCCCTCGCTGGCAGCAACGCCCAGGGCTGGTTGTGCACCACAGTGCGTAGCTCCCATCTACAAATGCGCACGGCCTCAGCTGGGAGATGGGGCAGAAATTTGAGGAACGCTGAATGATGACCTATCAGGATGCGTTGGTTCATCTAAGGTAAAGTCCTTGCGGCCTAGGGTGCTGTGCTGGACTTCCGACGGCACAGGATTAGAGCTTCTCTCCTCACCGAAGACTCACAGACAATGAAACTCCAGCACGTGATCATAAAGCCGGCTTACAGACGTGACAAGTGCGTCAGTGCGTCAGCCAAGCTGCTAGAACAGAGACAGGAAGAGGCCCCAAAGCTCAGCAGGTTCAGAGTTCAACAGAATGTGAAATCGCCCTCAAAGAAAGGCCATGATCAGGTA